TCCCGTTTTAGGTTCTGGGTTCGATTTTGGCTGATGAGGTCCCATTTTCAGGGTGCCAGGTCCCATTCGGGTGCTGCGGTCCAATTTTGAGGTCCTGGGGTCCTATTTTTGTGGCACCGAGGTCCCATTTTGGGGTCCCAGGTCCCACTTCTGAGTACCTAGGTGCCACTTTGGGTGCTGGGATCCCGTTTATGGGGTGTAGGGGTCACATTTTGGATGCTGGGTTCCCATTTTGGGGTCCCAGGTCCCGGTTTTAGGGTGCTGTGGTCCCACTTTGGGGTACCTGGCTGCCATTTTGAGATCCTGGGGTCTTATTTTGGGGTACCAGGTCCCATTTTTGGGGTCTCAGGTCCCATTTTGGGTGCTGAGGTCCCACTTTGGGGATGCAGATGGCCCATTTTGGGGGTCCTGGTGTCCAATTTTTGGGGTGCAGGGGTCCCATTTTGTGTGCTGGTGTCCACCACCAACACCCCCCCCCAAATCCAACCGTGTTATAGATAATTAACACGGGGGAGAGCCCCAATTTTCCCATCATGCAACATGTCCACCCCCCCATCTCCCCCATTTCCATTATGGCTTTTGGCAGGATTTGGGGGTGCAGGGGGGGGGGGGGGTACATGGGGTTCCCCCCCAAGTGAGGGTGATGAAGGCTGAGGCCTTGTCCTTGAGCTGCCGCAGGCAGAGGTGGCAGCTCCAGCTGCCTGCGGGGGGGCACACAGAAAGAGGGGGGGTCAATGGGGGGGGTACCCCAAAGTGGCTCCCCCATTGACCGCCCCACACATTTACCTTCAGGGAGCTCAGCCATGGGGGGGCTCAGGCAGTACTTGTGGTACCCCCGATCGCAGTTGTCGCAGAACAGCAGCTGGTCCTGGGGGGTGTTGGGGTGTGTGTGGTGATTTCGAGGAGTTTGAGTGGTTTTGGGTCGCAAGGGGTGGTTTAGGGTTGACTTAGGGTAGATTTGGGATGGTTTTCAGGGGATTTGGGGTGGGTTTGGGTGATTTGGGGTAGTTTTGGGTTGATTTTGGGGGGTTTGGTGTTTTTGGGGTGCAAGGGGTGGTTTTGGATTGATGCGGGTTGATTTTGCGGTGGCTTTGTGTTGATTTGGGGTGGGTTTTGGGTGATTTAGAGTGGGTTTCAGGTGATTTAGGAGTAGTTTTGGATTGATTTGGGATGGCTTTGGGGTGATATAGGGGTGGGTTTGGGTTGATTTGGGGGGTGTTTTGGGGGTAGAGGGGGTGTTTTGGGGTGGCGGCAGGGTATTTTTGTGTTGATTTGAGGTGGGTTTGAGGTGATTTGGGGTGGTTTTGGGGTGATGTAGGGGTTGGTATTGAGGTGGGTTTGAGGTGATTTGGGCATAGTTTTGGGTAGGTTTGGGTCGATTTAGGTGTGGGTTTGGGGTGGGTTTGGGTTGCTTTGGGTTGCTTTTGGGGTGACTTAGGGGTAGCTTTGTGTTGATTTGGGGTGAGTTTGGTTTGATTGGTGGGTTTGGGGTGATTTAAGGGTGGGTTTGGGGTGATTTAGGGGTAAGTTTGGGGTGATTAAGGGGTGTTTCATGATGATTTTGGGGTGCAGGGGGTGTTTTGGGTTGGGTTCGGGGTGGTTTTTGGGTAGAGTGTTTTGGGGTGCAGGCTGGGTGGTTTTGAGTTGATGGGGGGGTGGGGTTCAGGGGGTGTTTTGCAGGTGTTTTTGGAGTGGTTTTGGGTTGATTTGTGGTGGTTTTAGGGTGATTTATGGGTGATTCAGGGTGTTTTTGATGTGCAGGGGGTGTTTTGGGGTGGTTTTTGGTTGGTTTGGGCTGGTTTGGATTGGTTTTGGGGCTGTTTGGGGCTGTTTTGGGTTGTTTGGGGCTGGGTTTGGCTGTTTTGGGGTTGGTTTGCTCTGTTTTGGGGCTGTTCTGGGCTGCTTTTGGGGTATTTTGGGGCAGTTTTGGGGGGTGTCTATGGGGTTCAGGGTTGTCTAAGGGGTGCAGGGGTGTCTATGGGGTCTATGGGTTTTGCACATGCTCCCTGCAGGCTTAGTCATTGTCCAAACTGCACCAGGACCACCCCACCCCTACCCCCCCCCCCAGCCCCATATGGCAATGGGGAGCAATAGGGTCTGTATGGGGGGGGGTACCTGTGCTCCGGTGCTGGTTTTCAGGAGCCCAGTTCAATTCTCTGTAAAACTCGGGGGGGGGGGGAAGGAGGAAAAAGGGGTGACGCCCCCCCCCGCCCCCCAGCACCCCTGGAATCCCAAATGGTCCCAACTCCCCCAATTCGCCCCCCCCCTTCCTCCCCAAAGGCAGGGCTGGGACCCCCCCAATTGGGACCGGGACCCTCCCCCATTTGGGGCTGGGACGCCCCACTCACGCTTGTGGTGATTCTTGTGGGGGGGCACAGGGCGCTCTCCCAGCTCCTCGCCCTCCTCCTCAGCCAGGTGCGTGTGTGTGTCGTGGTAGCTGAGCCCCAGGCGGTTCTCGTAGCGCTTCCCGCAGATTTGGGGGCCAGACCCCTCCTATTGCCCCCTACCACCTCCTATTGGCCTACATCGCCCCTATCGCCTCCTATGCCCCCCTATAAACTGCTATCACCCCTATCGCCTCCTGTCACTCCCATAGTTCCCTATCACCTCCTGTTGCCCCCTATCGCCTCCTGCAGCCCTCTATGGCCCCATATCGCCCCCTATGGCTCTCTACCGCCCCCTATTGCTCCCATAGCCCCCTATCGCTGCTGTTATCTCCTATCGACTCCCATAGCCCCCCATTGCCTCCTGTTGCCACGGAGCCATGGAGCAGGGGTGGACCAAGGGAGGATCGTGATGGATGGATGGATTATGGACGGACGGACAGACGGATGGATGGATGGATGGATGGATGGCTGATGGATGAATGCATGGATGGATTGATGGATGGATGATGGATGATGGATGTGGGGTGATGGATGAATGATGGATGGATGGATGGATGGATAAATGGATGGATGGATGGATGGATGGATAAATGGATGGATGGATGGATGGATGATGGATTGGTGATAGATGGATGATGGATGGATGGATGGATGATGGATGATGGATGGATGATGGAAGGATGGATGATGGATGATGGAAGAATGGATGAATGGATACACGTAGATCCCATAAGCCCCATCTCCTATCAGTTTCCCATCTGTAATGCTGAAACCCCCTTGTGAAGAGCAGCACTGAACCATTGAAACCCTCGTAGGGTCCAAACACAAATCAATCTATTACAGAGAGATTCTTTAATCATGTCCAATTTAATAGTCAAGAGTCCCAGTCCAGTTCCTCACAGCAATCAGTCAAAGCATGGACAGTCCAGGCTCATTGCAGTTCAGTCACTCACAAGGGGGATGGGGTGAGATAGGGGATAGGAGGTAGAAGATAAGAGATGAGAGAGAGAAGAGAGGAGAGGAGAGGAGGGGGAGAGGAGGAGGGTGAAATGAAATGACATCAAATGGAAATGAAATGAAATAAAATGGAATGAAATGATATAAAATGATATGAAATGATATATTTTCAGAGAGGAGAAGAGAGGAGACGAATGAGATGAAGTGGGATGATATGGGATGAGATGACGTTCCCATAGGAGAAGCAGAACATGGTAATTTTGGGGTGGTGTTGGGGTGGTTTTGGGTGTTCTGGGGTGTTTTGGGGCTCTGATCCTGTATCCCATAGGAAAAGAAAGACAGGGTGGTTTTGGGTTACTTTTGGGGTGCTTTTGGGGTGTTTTAGGGTGTTTTGGGAGTGTTCTGTGGCTAGTTTGGGGCTCTGACCGTGTATCCCATAGGAGAAGCGGGACAAGGTGGTTATGGGGTGGGTTTAAGCGGTTTTGATGTTGTTTTGAGGTGCTTTGGTGTGTTTTGGGGTTCTGACCCTCTGTCTTATAGGAGAAGAAGCACAAGGTGATTTTGGGGTCCTTTGAGCCTGTTTTGGGGGTGTTTGGGGGCACTGTCCCTGTATCCCATAGGAAAAGCAGGACAAGGTGGCTTTGAGGTGTTTTAGGGTTGTTTTGGTCTGGATTTGTGTTGGTTTTGGGCTGGTTTTGGGCAGTGACCCTTTATCCCATATGAGAAGCAGGAGAAGGTGATTTTGGGGTACTTTACGGTGTTTTTGTGGTGTTTCTCTGCTCTGACCCTGTATCCCATAGGAGAAGCCGGACAAGGTGTTTTAGGTTGTTTTGGGGATGTTTATGCAGTGTTTTTTTGGGCTCTGAGCCTGTATCCCATAGGAGAAGCAGGAGAAGATGGTTTTGGGGTGGTTTTGGTGGTTTTTAGGATTGTTTTGGGCTTTTTTTGTTGCTGTTTTGGGGCTGTGAATATGTAACCCATAGGAGAACAGAGCAACGTATTTTGGGGGCATTTTAGGTTGGTTTTGGGTTGGTTTGGGGCTGGTTTGGGGCTGGTTTGCAGCTCTTACGCTTTATTCCATAGGAGAAGGAGATGGTGTATTTTTTCTGTGTTTTAGTGTGTTTTGGGGCTCTGATGCTGTATCCCATAGGAGGAGGAAAAGGTGTTTTTGGGGTGTTTTGGGGATGTTTTAGGTTTTCTTTGGGGTGTTTTGTGGCTAGTTTGGGGCTCTGTCCCTGTATCCCATAGCAGAAGCAGAACACGGTGGTTATGGGGTGGTTTTAGGTGGTTTTGATGTTGTTTTGGGCTTTTTTGATGTGTTCTTGGGCTCTGACCATCTATCCCATAGGTGAAGAAGCACAAGGTGATTTTGGGGTCCTTTGAGGCCGTTTTGGGGTTGTTTTGGGGCACTGTCCCTGTATCTTATAGGAAAAGCAGGACAAGGTGGTTTTGCAGTGTTTTAGGATATTTTTTGGTCTGGATTTGTGTTGGTTTTGGGCTGGTTTTGGGCTCTGACCCTTTATCCCATAGGAGAAGCAGGGCAAGGTGGTTTTGGGATGGTTTTGGGGTGGTTTAGGTTTTTTTAGGGTTGTTTTGGGGCTAGTTTTGGGCTCTGACCCTGTATCCTATAGGAGTAAGAGGACAAGGTGGTTTTGAGGTGGTTTTGGGTGCCAATGGTCCCCATGTCTGTGCAGGCACCATCTCTGCCTCAGAGCTCTCCCTGCGCCCCGTGGATCCCGGGATGATGCCGCTGCTGGACATGGCCACGGGGCTGGAATGAGCCAGTCTGGTCAATGCAGCCAAGGCCTATGGAGGTACCAGCCCCGCCCCCTCCCCAAACTGCACCCTCAGCATGGGGTCGGGTTTGGGGAGGTTTGGGGTGTTTCTGGGGGTGCTGTGTTGGTTTTGGGATGCTGAGGTGGGATTTGAGGTGGGTTTGGGGTGCTTTAGGGGTGCTGAGGTTGACGTTGGTGTGTGTTTGGGGGTGCTGTTTTGATTTCGGGGGTGTAAAGAGGTGGGTTTGGGGGGGCTTTTGAGGGGAATTGGGGTGTTTTGGGCTGGTTTTGGGGGATGTTTTTGGCTGTTTTAGGGTGTTTTGTGGCTGTTTCAGAGGTGTTTGGGGCTAGTTTTGGGGTGTTTCAGGCTGTTTTCAGGCTGTTTTGGGCTGGTTTTGGGGTGCTGATGTGCCATCCCCTCAGTGCAAAGGGCCATGTCCCTGTTCTCCTTCACGGAGCTGGTGCTGAGCCCCGACAACCCCAACCCCCAGAGAGGCCACGGGGGGTTGCCCCCCCATCAGGTACAGGGACCTCCCCTGTATGTGTACCTTCCCATGTCGCCCTTGTATGTGGGGCTGGGACACATTTGGGGCAGGAACCCCCTCTCCCCTGTTGACGCAGGAGTCACGGACAACGCAGAGACAATCAATGTGATCAAGAGACTGCCAAATCTATTACAAAGCCTTAACTCCTTATATACTAATTCTTACATGCACTTACAGTGATTTGGCATATTATGATTGGATACATGTCTTGAAGACCCTTAGTGACTGACATATAATTGGTTAAGTACAGGTGTGGGAACTTGACCTCGAAAGCTTGCCAACAGTCCACAGTTCTCATTAACTCCGTGAAATCCAGTTTCTTCTTACCTTGCTTGTTTGGGCTTCCTCGGGCCTCTCATGGCCTTGCTGCATCTTTCAGGATTATTCAGTTTATGTACCAATTATCCATTCTCCCATGAGAACACTGCCTCCACACCCCCCCAATACGGGGATACCCCAGGGCCCCCCCTCCATTGCACTTTGCCCCCCCTCCCAGCCTTGAACCTACCCCAGAAGGTGTCGCAGCTCGAGGCCATGCTAAAGCAGCTCCACAGCGACCTGCAGAAGGTTCCATTCTGGGGGTATTTGGGGTGATTTGGGGCTGTTTTGGGTTCTCACTGAGTGCCACCCATAGGAGAAGCAGGACAAGGTGGTTTTGGGGTAGTTTTGGGGTGTTTTGTGGCAGTTTTGGGCTCTGACCCTGTATTCCTGTCCTGGGTTCAGCAGTAGCAGTCATGTTTCTCCTCCTTGGTAGCTGGTGCAGTGCAGTGTTTTGATTTCGGCCTGGGAAGAGAGCTGATAGAGATGTTTTGGTTTGGCCAAGGACTTTGTGAGCCTCATGCTCTGCCAGGGAGGAGGGGAAGCCGGGAGGAAGCAGAGACAGGACACCTGACCCAAACTGACCAAAGAGGTATTCCATACCACAGCACGTCATGCCCAGGATGTAACTGGGAGTGAGCCGGAAGGGCTGGGGGACTGCAGGGTTGGAGGAGGTATCGGTCGGAGCTTGGTCGGGCTTGGGGGGCGAGTTATCAGTCGGCTGGTGGTGAGGTGTTGTATTCTGTTCCCTTGCTATTTCCTTTGTCATTGTTATTATTGGTGGTAGCAGTAGCGATCTCTGTTATACCTTAGTTACTAAACTGTTCTTATCTCAACCCGTGGGAGTTGCATTCTTTTCGATTCTCCTCTCCATCCCTCTGGGAGTAGGGGGAGGGAAAGAAGGGGGGAAGTGAGTGAATGAGCCCTCTGCCTGGTTTTAAACCACGACAGTTCCATAGGAGAAGTAGGACAAGGTGGTTTTGGGATGGTTTTGGGGTGAGTTGGGGGTTTTATGGGTGTTTTTCGGGTCTGACCCTGTGTTTTATAGGAGAAGCAGGACAAGGTGGCTTTGGGGTGGTTTTGGCGTTTATTTTGGCCTGTTTTGGGGCTGTATTGGGCTCTGACCTGTACCCATAGGAGAAGCAGGACAAGGTGTTTTTGGGGTGTTTTAGGGTTATTTTTGGGGTGTTTTGGGGTCAGTTTTGGGCTCTGACCCTGTATCCCATAGGAGAAGCAGGATAAGGTGGTTATGGGGTGGTTTTAGGTGGTTTTGGTGTTGTTTTGAGGTGTTTTGGTGTGGTTTGGGGCTCTGACCCTGTATCCCATAGGAAAAGCAGGACAAGGTGTTTGGGGGAGTTTGACGATAGTTTTGGGTGTTTTTTGAGTGTTTTGGGGTTGTTATGGGCTGTTTTGGGCTATTTTGCGGCTCTGACGCTGTATCCCATTTGAGATGCAGGACAAAATGCTTTTGGGATATTTTAGGATGTTTTTTGTGTGTTTGGGGTGTTTATTGGGCTGTTGTGGGACTCTGACCCTGTATCCTATAGGAGAAGCATTACAAGGTGGTTTTGTGGTGGTTTTGTGGTGTTTTGGGGCTCTGATCCTGAATCCCATAGGAGAAGCCAGAGAAGGTGATTTTGAGGTGTTTTTGGAGTTTTTTAGGGTGTTCTGTTGCTCTGAACCTGTATCCAATAGGAGAAGCAGGACAAGGGGTTTGGGGGAGTTTGACGATAGTTTTGGGTGTTTTTTTGAGTGTTTTGGGGGTGTTATGGGCTGTTTTGGGCTGTTTTGTGGCTCTGACACTGTATCCCATATGAGAAGAAGGACAAGGTGGTTTTAAGGTGGCTTTAGGGTGGTTTTGGGTCTTTTGGGAGTGTTTTGGTGTGTTTTAGTTTGTTTTTGGGGTGTTTGTGGGTGTTTTGGGGCTCTGGAACTGAATACCATTGGAGAAGCTGGACAAGGTGGTTTTAGGGTGTTTTAGGAGGTTCTTTGGGTGTTTTGTGTGTGCTTTGGGCTGTTTTGGGGCTGTTTTGGGGCTCAGACCCTGTATCCCATAGGAGAAGCTGGAGAAGGTGATTTTGGGGTGTTTTTTTAGTTTTTTAGGGTGTTCTGTGGCTCTGAACCTGTATCCAATAGGAGATGTAGGACAAGGTTGTTTTGGAGTGGTTTTGGGTGTTATCAGGGTGGTTTGGGTTTCTTTGTGGGTGTTTTGCAACAGTTTTCGGCTTTGATCCTATCACTCATAGAAGTAGGACATTACAAGGTGGTTTTGGGGTGTTTTGGGGCTGTTTTGGGGCTCTGATCCTGAATCCCATAGGAGAAGCCGGAGAAGGTGATTTTGAGGTGTTTTTGGAGTTTTTTAGGGTGTTCTGTGGCTCTGAACCTGCATCCAATAGGAGATGTAGGGCAAGGTTGTTTTGGAGTAGTTTAGGGTGTTATGGGGGCAGATTGGGTTTCTTTGGGGGTGTTTTGCAACAGTTTTCGGCTTTGATCCTGTCACTCATAGTAGCAGGACAAGGTGGTTTGGGGGTGTTTTGGGTTTTTTGGGGGTGTTTTAGGGTTTTTTTTGGGTGTTTTGGGGCTCTGACCCTGCATCCCACAGGAGAACCAGGACAAAGTGGTTTTGCAGTGATTTTGTGGTGGTTTTGGGTGGTTTTGTGGTATTTTATATTGTTTTGGGGGTGTTTTGGGGTGTTTTGGGGCTCTGGAACTGAATCCCATCAGAGAAGCAGGACAAGTTGGGTTTGGGGCGTTTTAGGCTGTTTTTTGGGTGTTTTGGGTGTGCTTTGGGCTGTTTTGGGGCTCTGACCCTCTATCCCATAGGAGAAGCATTAAAAGGTGGGTTTTGGGTGGTTTTTGGGTGTTTTGGGGCTGTGAGCCTGAATCCCATAGGATAAGCAGGAGAAGGTGATTTTGGGGTGTTTTGAGGTGTTTCTGTGCTCTGACCCTGTATCCCATAGGAGAAGCCAGACAAGGTGTTTTTCTGAAGTGTTTTAGGGTGTTTTGGGGATGTTTATGCAGTGCTTTTTTGGGCTTTGACCCATATCCCGTAGGAGAAGCGGGAGAAGATGGTTTTGGGGTGGTTTTGGTGTTTTTTAGGATTGTTTTGGGCTCTTTTGTTGCTGTTTTGGGGCTCTGAAGCTGTAACCCATAGGACAAGCAGGACAAGGTGGTTGTGAAGTGTTTTAGGGTGGTTTTGGGCTCTGAACCTTTATCCCATAGGAGAAGCGGGACAGGGCGGTTTTTGGGGTGTTTTAGGGTGTACTTGGGCTGATTTTGGGTTGGCTTAAGGCTGGTTTGGGGCTCTGATCCTGTATCCCATAGGAGAAGCAAGACAAGGTTGTTTTGGTTGGTTTTGGGTGTTTAGGGGCGTTTTTGTGGCTGTGACCCTGTATTCCATAGGAGAAGCAGGACAAGGTGGTTTTGGAGTTCTTTAGGATATTATTGGGATGTTTAAGGCTGATTTGGGGCTGGTTTTGCATTGGTTTGGGGCTGATTTGGGGCTCTGACACTGTAATCCATAAGAGAAGCAGGAGAAGGTGGTTTTGGGGTGTTTTAGGGTGTTTTGGGGGTGTTTTGGGGCTCTGACCTTTTATCCCATAGGAGAAGCACTACAAAGTGGTTTTGGGCTCTTTTGGGGTCTTTTTTGGTGCTCTGACCCTGATCCCCTATGAGAAGCAGGAGAAGATGCTTTTGGCATGTTTGGGTTTTTTTTAGGGGGGGTGTTGGGATGTTTTTATGGTTTTAAACCTGTCTCCCATCGGAGAAGCAGGACAGGGTGGTTCTGGAGTGGTTTAGCGTGTGGTTTTGAGGTGATTTGGTTTGGTTTTTGTTTTTGAGATGTTCTGGGCTGTTTTGTGGCTGGTTTATGACTGTTTTGGGGCTCTGAACCTGTATCCCATGGGAGAAGCAGTACAAGGTGGTTGTGGGGTGGTTTTGGGGCTGCTTTGGGGCTCTGATCCTTTATACCGTAAGAGAAGCAGGGCAAGGTGGTTTTGGGGCTTTTCTGGGGGTGGTTTTGGGCTTTTCTGGCCTCTGACCTGTATCCCATAGAAGAAGCGGGAGAAGGTGGTTTGGGGGTTTTTGGGATGCTTTTGAGGTGTTTATAGGGTGTTTTGGGTCTCTGACCCTGTATCCCATAGGGGAAGCATGAGAAGGTGGTTGTGGGGTGGTTTGGGGGCTGCTTTGTGCCTCTGACCCTTTATACCATAAGAGAAGCAGGGCAAGGTGTTTTGGGGTGGTTTGGAGGTCTTTTGGGGCTCTTTTGCAGCTGTTTTTGTGCTCTGTCCCTGTGTCCCATAGGAGATGCATTACAAGGTGTTTTTGTGGTGGTTTTGGGAGTTTTTGGTGTGATTCTGGGTTGTTCTGGGGCTCCTTCCCTGTATCCCAAAGGACCTTCCCTATAGGGTAGCCGGCATCCATATGGGGCTGAGAGCATCTCTATGGGGCCACGAGCCTCCCTGTGGGGCTGAGGACCAGCCCTTATGGGGCCACAAACCTTTATAGGGGACTGGGAATATCCAACTCTATGGGGCTGGGAGGTTCCCTGTGGGGTTCAGTCCCTCCCTATAGGGCTCAAGCCTTTCCTATGGGGCTGAGGCTTTCCTATGGGGTTGAGCCTTCGCTATGGGGTTCAGGCCCTACCTGTAGGGTTCAGTCTTCCCTACGGGGCTGAGGCTTTCCTATGTGACTGAGCCTTCCCCATAGGTCTGAAGCTTCCCTATGGGATTCAGGCTTTCTCTGTGTGGCTGAGCCTTCCCTATGGGGCTGAGCCTCCCATATAGGGCTGAGCCTTCCCTATATGGCTCAAGCTTTCCATATCGGGCTGAGGCCTTCCTATAGGGGTTAGGCTTCCCTATAGGGTTCCCCACCCACCCGCATACATTCCCTTTACTCCCCCATATCTCGGGGGGGGGGGGGGACGACACACGGACGGGACGATACCATTCAAGGCAATAAGGGGGTGCAGGAGCCCCCGCGCAGCACCTCATTTAGGGACCAAATCCTTAACAGTAATAATTAATAATATGCTAATTTATAATTAGGCTCTTCCAGCACTTTCTCCCCCTCTCCTTAAATTATTTCCTAGTGGAAACCAATGGGTTTAACCCCCCCTTAACCTCCCCCCTTTATAAATCACTATATTTGTATAAATGGCACCTTTCTAACTCTAAATCTTGCCTTTTTTTATCCAATTTTTGCACCGAGGGGGTGGTGGGGGTGGGGGTGTGTCCTCACTGTGACCCCCCCATTGGGGCCCCCCAAAATCATTCCCCCACCAATTGTGTACATTATTTTATATGTCCCCATGATCTTATTTAATTCCCCTGGCCCCCGTTTTGATGCTGATAGGATTTTGATGCTGCCCACCTCCCTCTTCCCTGCAGTGGTTTGTTCCATAAGGGAGGGGTAGAAAAGGGGGGTCGCGACCATTTTGAGGGGCTCGGGGGGGGGGCGGTCTATGGAATTTTGGGTGTTGGGGTACCCCCATTTTGGGGATCTGAGATCCCATTTTGGGGGAGGTGTCCCCCGCTTCGTGCCCGATGAGCCTGTCCACAGGAAGGGCGTGGCCAAGTTGGATGGGGCAAGCTCTGATTGGCTGGGTGCGATTGGGGGGCATGGTTTTATCCAGTGGGCGTTACCAAGAGGCAGAGCAGGGGGGACCACACCGGGGTACCCGGGTGCACTCAACGGAAGCGAGGGGGGATTGCGATGCTGATGCGTGACTGTTAGCGTTATAATGGACCAAATTCCTTTGGGAACACCGTTTCCTTCCACAGCGCCACCACCTCTGCTCATCCATGGAAGCAGGGAAGCCCAGAAGGAATCACTTCATCTTCATTGCGGGGTAACGGGGAATCACGTTTGGAGCGTGTGCTGCCTGGATGCCATCAGAGATGGAGAGCAGGGAATGGGATGGCGGAGGCGATGCCCTTCGGTCTCCAGAGCTCCTCGGTCCGGGTCTGTCTCTGCCATCTTTTTCCCTAAGGAAAACTGCAGCATTCCCAGCAGCAGAGCGCCCGCAGGCGGGATCCCAGGCTCCGCTGCGCTGGTGGGGTCCCGAGGATGAGCAGGGTCTGAGCCGTCAGGGAACAGAGGCTGGGATCACCCTCATCCAGCAGCGCTTCCAGAGCTGTGATCCAAAGAGAGCGGGATGAGCCCCTCCGTAGCCAACAGCATCCCCCCAACCACAGCTCCCTCCTCACCTCTGCAGATCTGCTGCAGCTTCCATGGGCTTTTCCCTCTGAGGGGCCGTGCGGCCAATCCTAGGCACAGGGATAGATTGAGATCCATCAGCATCCATCAGGGATCCATCGGGATCCATCAGGGGTGCAGTGGTGGGGACCAGGATGGGGACCCCAGGAGCTCACCAATGAACCTGACGGCTGCCTCTTGCAGGGGGACCTGAGCATCCTGCAGGTACTGCAGGCTCTGGTGCAGGTATCTTTGAGCCCTCTTCCTGCTCCGCTCCAGCTGCAGAAGGAATGGGATGCTACAGAACGCCCCCATTGGCTGGAGCAGTCCCAACGCTCCCTTTCCCATCCGGTTGTGGGATGGGCAGAGCGGTCCAAGGGGTTCCAATGGGAATAGGGATGGATGCAGGACCCGTACCAAGCACCCTGCAACCCTCCACGTCTGCCTTGTCTCCAATAGGCACCGGAGCTCTTCCCATCCCAGGAGCATTGCCGCAGCAAGGAGAGCTTCCCGGGAAGCCTGCACAGGATGGGATGGGAGACGGCACCTTGGGGATGATCCCACCCTTGGGAACGTGGGATACGGGGGGATGGGGCGGGTCCGTACCTCAGCCACGCTGCGGCTTTGGTCGCTCATGCGGAAGAAGAGCGGGAGCAGCAGATCCCAGGTTTTTCTCCGCATCCTCCACCTGTCCCATCCAAACACCAACTCCAGCAGGAGCTGGAGCAGGCGGATGGAGAGCTCCCGGAGCCGGCTGCATCCCTGGAGGCAAGGAGGAAAAGGGGGCACTTAGGCAGATCCAGATGGGATGTGAAGCCCTGGAGCCATCCCCATGTGAGCTCCAAATCACTTCAGGGGCCCACGCAGGCCTTACTCCATCAAAGAGGGGCCGGATGTCCCGCACCAGCCCCACGGCAATGGGGCTGGCCTCCTCTCCTGGGAGGTGACCCATCACATTCCATAGGATCATCAGGGCTTTTATCCTGAGCTTGTCCTCGGCATCCCGGAGCCTGCCCATGATGTGGGGCAAGAGGTGCTGCAGTTTCCTTGCCTGCAGGAAGAGATGGGGGCTCCTTGTGGGAAAGCCTTGACCCAAGGCTGTGGTCACCATGGTCATGGCCAAGAGAGCTCCCCATGGCCAAGAGGGCTCCCCATGAGCCATGGCCGAGAGGGCTCCCCGTGAGCCATTGAGAACAAGGCTCCCCATGGCCATGCCTTGACCCATAGCCAAGAGGGTTCCCCATGACCCATGGGCCAAAGGGTTCCCCATAGCCAAGAGAGCTCCCCATGGCTGTGCCCTGCCCCATGGCCATGTCGTGCCCCATGGCCATGCCCCGCTCACCAAGCCAGGTTTCTCCGACAGCTGAAAGAGGCTTTCCAGCAGCACAGACGCTGTCATCAGGCTCTGGGGGTCCTCAGCACCCTCAGAACCACCAGCACCGGAGGCCATGGGCTAAAGGCAAACACAGGCATTGAGACCCCACCGAGCCTGCAGGGCTCATGGGAGGCCATCAGGGCCCTTTGGGTACTCACAACGAAGTTGGGGATGGAGGTGTCCCGGGTGTCCTGAAGCACCCCCAGCAGCTCCCGTAGGGCCTCTGAAGTCTCGGATATGGTCAGGACCATCTCCCACATGTTCATGTCAGCTCTGGAAGCCAGGGTGCTGAGTCAGCGTGGTCCACACATCCCATGGGATGCCCTATGGGGGTTAGCGGTGCTGTTCCCCATGGGGTGGGATGCAGGGACCTGCTGCACAGGTATGTCATAGCATCATGGAAAGGGCCTTAAGATCATCCAGTTAAAACTCCAATGCCATGGGGTGGGACGGAGGGACCTGCTCCTTAGGGATGTCATAGCATCATGGAAAGGGCCTTAAGATTATCCACTTCCAGGCCCAATGCCATGGGTCAGGATGGAGGGACCTGCTCCTCAGCCTCATGGAATGGGCCTTAGGATCATCCATTGTCGTGGGTCCTTGGGTCTGGTGGCCATAGGGACCAAGCCCTCAAGGCTGGTACCTGTCTCTCAAGGGCACGTTGAGGACCATGCTGACCATCAATGCCCTCGGGTGCTTGATGGCCATCAGGATGAGGAGCATGTCCATCCTTCTCCACGTGTCTTCCCTGCTGCTATTCCGCAGGCATTCATGGATGCTCCTCAAGACACTGGACATCTGGAAGCGGGAGCATGGGTGAGGATGGTGCTGGGACCGCATTCCCCATCCATCTCTGCTGCTTTGGGTACCCAAGACACCTCCTAGGTTTGGGATGGAGGAGGAGGGACTGAAGGGGATGGGAACGTAGCCATGGGGCACCCACCTCGGCCAGCCAGAAGTCGAGGTTTCTCAGGACCAGCTCCAGGATGTCCTCTGCCACCCTCCTGTTGAAGATGCTCGAGTCCTTCATGGCCTCGATGACCACGCAGACCATGTCCGTCCTCTCCCATGGATAAAGGAAGCCTGCAAACCTCTATGAGAGGAAGGTTGGGAAAATGGAAGCTGCATTGTCCCTGCCTGTGGAAGCATCCCACCATAGGGTCCAGCACTGGGGGGAGCTCCATTACCATGGTGAGGTATTGGGGGCTGATTTTTTCATCCCATCTGAGCTTTTCCACTTCATGCTCTGGCTTTGGCCTTTCTGAAGAGCAAGGGGCACACAGGAGAGTCAAGGGGACACAGGAGAGTCAATGGGATACAGGGGAGTCAATGGGATACAGGAGAGTCAATGGGATACAGGGGAGTCAATGGGATACAGGAGAGTCAATGGGATACAGGGGTGTCAATGGGATACAGGGGAGTCAATGGGATACAGGAGAGTCAATGGGATACAGGGGTGTCAATGGGATACGGGTTAGTCAATGGGACACAGGAGAGTCAATGGGAGGAGTTGGGGGGAGGGGGGGCATCACGGCCTCAGGTACCTTTCCGCTGCAGGAGGTACTGATAGAGGCCACAAAGAGCATCCAGGGCCGGGGAGCTTGTCCTGTCCTTGGCATAGCGGAAGAGGAGGAGGTGGCCCAGGATCTGGCCCAGGAGAGGGACTGGGAGCTCCTGTGGGGGGCCGAGGCTTAAGTGTCTCCTCCAGGTCAGGCGCAGGTTCTGGGGAGGAAGAAAGAACAGGAACAAAAGGTGAAGAACCCAAAGAATGAGGAGGAAAGAAAAGAGAAAGAGGAGAAAGGGAAGGGGAAAGAGGAAGAGGAGGAGAAGGAGATGGAGGAGAAGGAGGAGGAGGAGGAGATGGAGGACAAGGTGAAGGAGGAGGAGGAGAAGGAGAAAGGGGAGAAAAATAGGAGAAAGAGAAATAGAAGGAGAAGAAGGAGGAAAAGGAGATGGAGGAGAAGGAGGAGGAGTAGGAGGAGAAGGAGGAAAAGGAGGAGGAGGAGGATGAGGAGAAGGAGGAGGAGAAGGAGATGGAAGAGAAGGAGAAGGAGAAAGAGAACTAGAAGGAGAAGGAGGAGGAGGGGAAGGAGGAGAAGGAGAATGAGAAGCAGGAGAAAAGGAGGAGGAGGAGGGGAAGGAGGAGAAGGAGAATGAGAAGCAGGAGAAAAGGAGGAGGAGGAGGAGAAGGAGTAAGACCAGAAGAAGAGCCTGAAGGACCACAAAAGAAGAAGAGTGAAGAAAGAATAAAGGAAAAGAAAGAGAAAAGAAGGAGGAGAAGGTGAAAGGAGGAGATGGGCCAGAAGAACCTGAAGGAGAATGAAAGAAGAAAAAAAGGAAAAGGAGAGGAGAAAAAGAAAGGAGCAGGAGGAGGAGCAGGGGCAGAAGCAGGAGGAGGAGCAGGGGCAGGAGCAGGAGCAGGGGCAGAAGCAGGAGGAGGAGCAGGGGCAGGAGCAGGAGCAGAGGCAGGAGCAGGGACAGGAGCAGGAGCAGGGACAGGGGCAGGAGCAGGGGCAGGAGCAGGGACAGGGGCAGGAGCAGGGACAGGGGCAGAGGCAGGAGAAGGGGCAGGAGCAGGGATAGAGGCAGAGGCAGGAGAAGGGGCAGGAGCAGGAGCAGGGACAGGGGCAGGAGCAGGGGCAGGAGCAGGGATAGAGGCAGAGGCAGGAGCAGGGGCAGGAGCAGGGACAGAGGCAGAGGCAGGAGCAGGGGCAGGAGCAGGGACAGGGGAAGGGGCAGGAGCAGGGACAGAGGCAGAAGCAGGAGAAGGGGCAGGAGCAGGAGCAGGGGCAGGAGCAGGGGCAGGAGCAGGGGCAGGAGCAGGGACAGGGGCAGAGGCAGGAGAAGGGGCAGGAGCAGGGACAGAGGCAGAGGCAGGAGCAGGAGCAGGAGCAGGCAGACTCAGGATGCTCTGCAGGTCCCCGTCTCCCCGTGCAGGGGTCGCTGCCGCCCGCCTCGGTCCTGCCGGGTCCTTACCCTCAGTGTGCGGTGGTGCCGCAGCAGCTGGGTCAGGGCCGCGATCCTGCCCAGGGCCCTCTCCCTCACGGCGGGGCTGGGGGAGCCGCTGAAGCGCAGCAGGAGCTGGGCAGGGGCAGAAGCCGTGGGTGAGCCCCGGAGCTGCGGCAGGGGCTGGATCCCCCCCGCTTCCATTGCAGCTCCCGCTGAGCATCACCGCGGGGCGGGCAGGGATGGAGGCAGCGGCACGGGAAGGGATGCAGGGGGTGAGGGCTTGGTCCCCTCGCTGTGGGGGATGCCCCGGCCGCAAGGACCAAGGCACGGCCCCGCTTCCAGGGCTGGGCTGGGGCTGGCGGTGAAAATCAGTGCCTCAGCGCTGCCCCTGCCCTGCGGCTGCAGGGGCTTTGGGTCCTTTCCAACCCAGCCCGCTCTGTGCTGCGGTGATTGCAGCGTGCATGTAAGTACGTGTGAATAGGAATAGAGCCCTAGAACTGAATATGAATAGGAATAGAGCCACGGAGCTAAATAGATATAAGGTAGGTCTAAATGTCATAGAAATATAGATATGGATATATAAATATTAGTATAAACATAAATATAGAGATATAAAAAATAAATATAGATATGAACATAAATATAAATACACATATTAACACATAAATATAAATGAATATATTTTAGATATTACTATATAGATATTAATATAAGTAAAAAGGGAAATACTAATATAAATATTAAACAATTCATATAGATGTATACTTATAAATATAGATATTAATATAAGTATTAATATAGTAATATTAATATATAAATTTAAACAGTAATACTGATAATCCTCAATATTGCTATTATTATTTTTCTATATTAATTGTCGATATTGATATGGAAATAGAAATAAATAGAAATAGAAATGTATAGATGTAGGTATAAATATATCAATGTAGATATAATTAGATATAAATAAGTATATACAAATGTATCTACACACATATATACATATATTTACATATATACATATAAATATATACACATATATACACACATCTGCGTATCCACACATATATTCACTTATACATATATCTACACATATTTGTACGTATTGATTGATGGCTTGGCTTTGTGAGCGAAGTTTTGGGAAGGGCTCTAACCATGCTTGCTAGAAGCACGATGACCAAGGGCAAGTGGGATATGCAAATCTGGTTGGAAAAAAGGGTGCTTAGACAGTCAGGAAGTATCTGACCAGGACTGTCATCTCCTGACAATTTCGAGCTACCCATGTGCTGGTCTGCCCACATGCAAGGTTGGATCTGCAGCTACCCATGCACCTTGTCACCTACCGTTTCAACCCTTGCCTGTATAAACAGACACACATATATACAGATATATACATAAACAGACACACGTATATATACATATATATGCATACACATGTATATATATATATATATACTTATATCTATAACAGACAAGTTCCTCCTCTAAAGACCTCTTCATGCAACAGTTCAGGGCAAGAGAACCAGTCCATGGGCCCCAGCAGCCTGGTCCTAGCCAATGGTGCCAGGAGGCAGCAAAGACCCCATCCCAGGGGGACCCAGCCTCCTGATGTGGAGTCCCTGCCCTGAGCTCTGCGGGCAGCGGCCGCCACCGCCTGCAGCCCCTGTGCTCCAGGAGGGCCTTGGGTTACCCAGGGGAAGGGGGGGCCCATGGCTCTGGGGGGGCCCATGGGTGAGGAGCAGCCCCCATGCACCCCGCTCCGCACAGGCCAGACCTGCAGGATGCTCTGCAGCTCCTCGCCGCCCCTGGGGTCAGGAGAGTTGAGCACCAGCCTCCAGAGCATGTTATTCATGGACTGCAGTGCCTGCAGGGACAGAGCAGAGCCCTTTGGGTACCTATGGGGGTTCAACCGCGGGCACCCCACAGCCCCAGCGCTCCAAAGGGAGCTGCGGGCTCCAGGAGTGCCTTACCTGGTTGTAATACTGGGTATCCAGGCGTGAAAACTCCTCTTTTGGAGGCAGGAAGAAGACACTCCTGAAGCAGGTCTCTAAGAGGCCTCTCCCTTGGTCCGCAAGCCCTGACTGCACTGAGCTGCACAGGGAAGAAGGCTCCGGTTGGATGCTTGTGATGGGAGCAGTGGGGTCCCCAGGAGGGATGCGCAGTTGTGGTACCTCAGTTCCGCTATCGCATCCATGGCGAGATGCCGCACCTCCGTGCGCAGCCGGTCCGTGGGCTGCTCTTGGAGCAGTGTCTATAGGGCACAATGGGGATAAGGGACCTGGGAGTCCACCAATGCTGCCCTCATTGGGTGCTGGAGCCCTTTGCCCCATAGCATCCCCATGGGGGTCCCTTCACCTGGATGGTCTCTGTGAGTTGGTTCCTATGGCAGAAGACATCCAGGCCCTGTTGCAAGCCGCAGATCCTGGCTGTGCTCAGCAGGGAGCAAACACTCTCAAGGAATGCAACCTTTTCATGCTCAGACTGGAAACCAGGGAGGATGGAGGCACAAACAGGGAGTGTGAGAGGGGACGGGGGTACCGGGGTGCTAGAGGTGAAGGCGGCACCCAACAGCGCCCATCAGCATCGCAATGGCTGTGCTCACCGTGGTTGGGGTGTTGACAAAGGCCTCGATGCGCTCCACATTGCCCCGCTCCAGTGCGTACACGGGTAACCAGCTGTCATCTAATGGAGGAAGAGGAGAGGTTTGGAGAGCAGAGGAAGCTCTGCTCCCCCGCCAGCATCCAAGGAAAGTGGTGCTGGTCATAAAGTCATGGAATCATAGAATGGGTTGGGTTGGAAAGGACCCGCAGATCACCCACTGGGTTTTCCATCCCAACCCCTTCTATGACTCTAGGATCCGATGTCACCAAGGCTGTGTCCAACCTGGCCGTGGATGGAGCATCCACCCTGTGCCAGCACCTCACCTCCTCCATAGGGAACAACTTCCTTCTGTCCAAGTGGAACTTCCCCTCTTTCAGTCTGAACCCATCACCCCTTGTCCTGCTCCCAGACCAACGCTCACCAGTCCTCAATGGCACGACCAGGGATTCCTCATAGGGCTCCAATGAAGAGATGCTCCCCTCAGGAGCCTCATTACTCTCCCAAGCCTGCCGGGGGGATCTGGGTGCTCTCTCCATCATCCCACAGGATGCAGGAAAGAGATGGCGGTTGCGGAGGGGAAAGCTTGGACCAAACGCAACAGGGCTTGAGCTCAGAAGCAACCCAGTGGCTCCTTCCTCCTGCTCTGTCCTGTCACTGTCTGCTCCCCTCACCAAAGCACTCAAGTAGGGTGACACAAATGAGGTCACAAAGGGCCCCGTGTTGACC